AATAATATGACTAATGAGCAGAAAAGATAGTAGTAGAGTTACAAAACCAACCATGAATCAAGTTCATACAGGGAAAAGAGAGGTCCTATCTAGATTCTAACAGGCCATTATTATGTATTAATCATGCCTCATCTCCGTCCCCCTGTATCTATTTTCGATTACCTTAAACTAGTCATAGATAGCTTGGATGCACAAAGTGATTTACAGAGCCATTAGATACCTGTGCTGCAAACTCGAACTCGTTGAAGATCTTCATATTTGCTTTTAAGACTCAAGACTTTTGAACTCGTGGAAATCTTCATAAGGCGAGGATCCACTTGAAGAATCACTTTCAAATAGCGTGCTTTCCCTTGGAGAGTCAGGAAGTGATTCTTTTGACTGCAAAGTTAAACCTGACGTAGAAACAAAAATTAGTCTGGCAGTCACGTCTTTTTGTTTGAAGCTGAGACAGTGCAACTATTGGTTGATAGGCACTATGCAGAGATTAATATTCTTATCAGGATAAGCTACAAATCATTTGAAATTAGGAAAAATAAAACATCAACCATAAATGTAAAAGACAAAAAGAGGAACTGAAAGGTAAGAGAAACGCTAACAACAAATGATTGGTAGAAAAGGGATGAGCTCTACTAACCTTTCTGCGCTCTTGGGCGAAACTTTTTAGTATGCCGTCTAATTAATCGCTTGGCTTTTGTTATGGTCAGTTGCCTAGCGAATGGTGAGAATTCTGCATCGCTTTCACTCCAATCACCAGAAAGCTCATTTTCTGCTTCGCCCCTCATCGTCCGCAGAACAAAAGCTTTGGCCTTACGACGCTGAGAATTGAAAAGGCCTCTTACAGATGTCACAAAGCCATCGCCCGCGCCATCATGCTTAGGCCAGGCTATTGGGTTCTGATCAGATTTTGTTGCTGGCCCAATATCACCATCACTGAGATTGAGATCAGCGTCGGGAATATTAACCCCACTGGAATGAGCTTTATCTTTAAACTTCTTTCCCTGTACACAAAACAAGTAGGCAATTCAAATGAAGGGGAAAGGGGTAGTATATATCACAAATACTAACTTCATGATGAAAGTCCTGTAGATGGGGAAAAGATAGCTTTTATCTTGTGTTCCATATGGGCATAACATTCATCCATTTACAACAATCTTTCTTGTACCAGCCCTGTGCGTGCAGTGCAAATGCGTGCTCGGGCACGCGTGCGTGTGTGTGTGAGAGAGAGAGAGAGAG